CAAAAAAAAAAAAAAAAAAAAAAAGAGAGAGAGAGAAAGATCATTTTTAAATGAAGGATGTAGGAGTGGCAAGTGGCTATAGAAAAGTACCCGGCACAGTGGGTTATGTGGATCAGTATCAGACAGACTTGTGTTTCTCCTCCAGAAACAGACCGTATAACGTTGGACAAGTTACTTAAATCTCAGTCTCTATGTCTTGACAAGGGGAATTAAAAATAAAACCTAGCAACAGGGTGTGCTGTGACACATGTATGAGATAACACAGATTCAACAGTTAGCAGGGAACATGGAAGAGAATAAGTGCTCAATATCTATTAGCAATTTCAAATTTATTTTCCCAGTTCTAAAGCACCATGTAGACTGTACGGAAATCACACAAATTTAAAAGTGTGCAGCGGTTCCGATATATACCAATTTTAGAAGCAATAAAACTAGAAAGAGTCCGCTAGAGTCAATATTGTCATTAAAATAAGAACATAGTCATTAAAATAAGAACATTGTCATTAAAAAGGGAAGCAAAGGAGAAAGACATTCCAGTTTTTTTTTTTTTGTTTTTTTTTCCCTTGCGTTATGCGGGCCTCTCACTGCTGTGGCCTCTCCCATTTTGCGGAGCACAGGCTCCGGACGCGCAGGCCCAGCGGCCATGGCTCACGGGCCCAGCCGCTCCGCGGCATGTGGGATCCTCCCGAAACGGGGCACGAACCCGCGTCTCCTGCATCGGCAGGCGGACTCTCAAGCACTGCGCCACCAGGGAAGCCCGACATTCCAGTTTTTAGCCATATTAATTCAACTTCATTATTCCTGCTCTAATGTAATAATAATTAGTAACACTTATATAGCAGGTGCTATTAGCTAGACACTGTTTCAAGTGGTTTATATATGTTAACAGTATATATGAAGTCAGTCCCATTATTATCCCCCTTTTAGAGAGGAAGAAACTGTGGCACAGAGAGGTTAAGCAACTTTCTCATGGCCACACAGCTGGCAAGTATTGGTGATAGGATTTGCACATGGTGGATCCAGCATTTCTGCCCTTCAGCACTACAATAAACTTTCT